GGGGGTCTGACCTCCCTGTGGACAGGGGCTGCTCCGGCATCCAATGGTGCTTGGACCCCTTGTGAACAGGAGCTGCTTCCACGCTGCTACCTCTGATAGAGAGGCAGCAGCTAGGCTAGTAGGGGGCGTCCCGATATTGAGGCCAGCATGCACTGGGGACTATCTAAGAGCCACAAAGATTTCATGCAGTTACACAACTATTCAGTTACACTCTAACATCCCTAGTATACATCTCTTCTCTATTCACATATATACAGAATGGTTAAATCCTTACATAAGAACATAAGAACGGCCGTACTGGGTCAGACCAAAGGTCCATCTAACCCAGTAGCCTGTCTGCTGACAGTGGCCAGCACCATGTGCCCCAAAAAGGATGGACCGAAGACAATGATCAAGCAATTTGTCTCCTGCCATCCTTCTCCAGCCTCTGACAAAAAGAGGCCAGGGACACCATTTCTATCCCCTGGCTAATAGCCTTTTATGGACCTAATCTCCATGAAATTATCTAGCTTCTCTTTAAACTCTGTTATAGTCCTAGCCTTCACAGCCTCCTGCAGCAAGGAATTCCACAGGTTGACTACACGCTGTGTAAAGAAGAACTTTCTTTTCTTAGTTTTAAACCTGCTACCCATTAATTTCATTTGGTGTCCTTTAGTTCTTCTATTATAAGAACTAATAAATAACTTTTCTTTATTCGCCCTCTCCACACCACTCATGATTCTATATACCTCTATCATATCCCCCCTCAGTCTCCTCTTTTCTAAACTGAAAAGTCCCAGTCGTTATAACCTCTCTTCATATGGGACCCATTCCAAACCCCTAATAATTTTAGTTGGTCGATAATATATTCCTAGTTTAGGTGGTCAATAATATATTCCAATTGCTTTATCCTTATTATCAGAGCATGAAATTACTATCCATAGAGATTCGAGGGAACAATTTGGTTCATTTAAGATTTTTACTTCATTTGATTGTATATTTTCTTTCATAAACAGTGCCATTCCCCCCCACGAGCATGACCTGTTCTATCCTGATATATTTTGTAACCTGGTATGACTGTCTCACTGATTGTCCTCATTCCACCAAGTTTCCATGATGCCTATTACATTAATAGCCTCCTTTAATATGAGACCCTCTAGTTCACCCATTTTATTATTTAGACTTCTAATGTTTGTGTATAAGCACTTTAAAAACATGTCACTATTTATTTGTCTGCCATTTCCTGACATTTTAGACTCTTTTCATTTGTTTGTGTCTCATCTGATCTTACCCATACTTTATCCTCATCCATCTTCTCCTCCTGACTAGAACATAGAGAATCTCTATTAATAGACCCTCGCCTGAGGGTATGTCTACACTTGCACCCTAGTTCGAACTAGGGATGCAAACGTAGGCATTCGAAATAATCAATGAAGCGGGGATTTAAATATCCCATGCTTCATTAGCATGATCTCACCAGCGCGTTACTCCACTCAACAGCTGTTTTGATAGTGAAAGTGCGCACCGGGATGCGTTAGTTCGAACCAAATCCCTTGGTTCGAAATAACGTTACTCATTTTTTGAGAGACTTGTGCTGCTCTCATCCTCCAGGCCAATCTCTCAGCTCTTATTGGCTGGTTGTTTCCAGCCTATAGGAGCTGAGAGATTGGCTGGGGTCAGTTCCTTTTGGCCAGTTGTTTCTGACCAATAGAAGCTGAGGATTGAGCTGGGTGTGGGGAGATTGCATGAATCTTCCCCCATCCTACAGAGCAGAGAGCCACATGGACTGTGCTTTAAACCGCGCAGCTGAGTGCCTGGCAGGATGGTCGGGGGGAAGCAGCTAGTGTGGGGTTGCCTCACCCCGTTTGTAAGTAGGGATCCGATGCAAGTCGGATCCATGTAACCCGGGGACTGCCTGTATCTATGTTTCTAACGATCAAATCACCCACTACTAACAACTGCCTCTTCCTAACAACTGGTGTTCCCTCCCCCTCAGAGGTATCCTCAGTGCGAGAGGATACTGCAACATCCTCTGGAAGGAGGGTCCCAACTATGGGATGGTTTCCCTC